CTTTCCACGGCCGCATTCAGTGAAAAATACGTGTAAATGGGCGCAGTTCGAAAAGAGGGAGACGAAGCGCGGAGGACTTTCGATGTATTTTCACTGAAGAACTGGAAAGCTTTGAAAAAGGCTCCTTTCGCTATTTTCATGCGCTGAAAAACCCAGATATGGTTTCCTCATGGCGAGAAGACTCCGATAAGGTGGACTGAAAAACGAAATTCTACCGAGACACTGCCTTTAAGTTAGAGCAATGAAATCGAAGAAGTTGACCACAAAGAGCTCTCAAATGAGAAGAACTGTGAAATTTTATTGCACCGTTTGAACTAACATGACACCATTTTAATAGCACGAAAAGCATATTTTGCAGGACTTTCGAAGACATCATTACTGGTATGAGAAGAGGATGGAGATTAATGGAGATTCCATAACTGCTCTAGTGGTCAAGAAAGCGATGCCACATGAAGAGGATTTCCATCCTGTTGGAATTTAACAAGATTTTCGAGCTTCACTTCCGCTACGGAGCAGTTGCAATTACGCCCATTTTTATTAGGAAGTCGATGCATGGATTGAATGAGGATGCCAAGCTGGAATATTAGATAAAAACGAGCAGTTAAGAAACTTTTAGAATAGTCTAGTCATTATATTGGGAGGAACCATGCGAGCTGCACGGATGACTATTAAACGCAAAATATCATCTTCATTGCTCCAAAACACCGCTAGTAATCAAAACGCCACCGCTGTGATCAAAGAAGCGCATATTCATCATGAAGGAGTGGAGCATACAATGATGACGGTGGGAACACATTATTGAATTTCACAACTACGTCAACAAGTTAGATATCTCGTTCAAAATTGCGTGAACTGCAGGCGCTACAATGCGCTTCCGTACTACTACCCAGACACAAGCGATCTTCCGCAACGACGAGTGCAAAGAAGTCGACCGTTCCAAAATATAGGGCTTAACTTTTTCGACCTACTACAATCCACGAAGGACGCGACGAACTCAGGCAATACTTTTTTACCTGTGCCGTCATCCTCATGATACATTTGAAGTTAGTGAATAGTATGTCTTCCTAAATGAAGACTTCCTAAATGCGCTTTGACCTCGCAGAGGAATTCCGGAATTCGCAATGTGATGTAACGCACCGACATTTACTAAGCGCCTCCATCTTGGAAGAAGGTCGCCAAGATTCCTGAGAATGAACATAACCTACGCCACGAGCAACTTAGAAATAAAATGGCACCACATAACACCTTACGTCCCATGGCAAGGTGCATTCTACGAACGCCTCATCAGATCGATAAAAAAGCATTACGTAAGGCTATCAGAGAAAGAGCCGTGCTCTAAAGATCATTTGCACGCAATTCTAACGGAGGTTGAAGCATGTTCAAATTCGAGGCGCTGACTTACCAAAGTTCTTCTCAAGAGGACCTGACAGCATTACAACCAATAAATTTCTACCAAAAGGATTCAGAAGTAACATTTCCGCTAGAAAGGAAAGCCACTGAAAAAGTGGACACCACGTACTTGCCACCGGAAGCATTAAGAAATTATCGAACACACCGTGAGGCGAAGGTAGCGATTCAGTCATCATGCAGAATCACTGAACAACTTCGGAAAGTGTGGCAACAACAATACTTAGCAAGTCCTTGAGAAAAGCACCTGAAGAACATGTTAGGAAAACGATTTGGACAAGAGATTCCTAC